TAATCAGCACACAAATTAAATGTAGTGTTCAGTGCTATAAAGCCTACCATTGGCAATTTTAATCATTTAAATAATTACAACTCGGCAATAAAAGAAACAGATATTTTCAGATGCTGTATTTTAAATATAATTTGGCAAAATCCTTTGTAAAATTAGCTTTACATATCTTTATTGGAAAGGGGTTAAACAATGTTTTGTATGCTTGTTCAATGAACCATAAACAGTTATTGCACATGCACCTGTGGAACAGACACTAACAGCTTACAGGCGGTAGGAAATTAAGGCCATAGTTACACTAACTTAAGACAGTAAAGAGACCTTTCTACTGACTCTGGAAAATACCAGAAGAAAGATGCCCAGGGTCCCTGATCAGCGTGAAAGTGTCATGGTCCTGCTGCAGGGAGGCACGAGGACTGCAGATGTGGCCAGAGCAATAAACTGCAATGTCTGCATTGTAAAACACATAAGACAATGCTACAGGGAGACAAGAAGGACAGCTTTTGCACGTCTTTGCAGTGGCAAACAGCATGTAACCATGCGTCCCTCCAGTAGTGTCCAGGAACTTTCAAGTGTCTTGGAAGAGTGGAGTAACATCTCAAAGCTCAAATGTACAAAACTGGTGAAGTTCATGAGGACGAGTGGCCACATAAAATACTCACTGCAACTTTTGATACTTTGTTCATGTACTCATTCTTTTTCTGTTCGTCAAATTTCAGTGAAACTTGCTAAATTTATGCCTCAGCTGCTGAGCTAGATAGATTGCATTACAGTAAAGAGAACAAGTTTTGTAATTGCAAAATTGCAATAATCAGAACTTGCAGGGAAAATGTGGGACAGTTCACTCAAAATTATTTAGATCAAATAAATCTGCTTGATTCGTAAATTTTATAACCTTTTTTGTGGAAATGTTACGTTTTTATTACCTAGACTTTCAATGGAGGGACAGAAACCTCTCTTGTCTTTGAAGATTAACCAAAGTCTTATGGGTTTGGAACCACAGGAGGGGGAGACAATGATGACAGTGTCCCTTTATAATTCTCATGAAATTAATGTCATAATAGAACATTTTCATGTCTTAAAAAGGCTTAATTTTCTTCATTTTGGCATAAAATATGCTTTGGGAGTTTCATTCAGAACCACTAACAGAAATAAACACCATGCAAATCATTGGTTCCAGTTTTTTGATTGTTGTTGTTTTAAATTCCACAGTTTTGAATAAGAACTATTTTTCAATTCTCAACCTTCTTGGAAACATGGGAAATGTCCCTTAGGCTCCATATAGCTCAGTAACAATAATTCAATTATTTCAGGTTTACAATAAGTTGGTGACCTTGGGTTCCTTTTGAGCAGCTTGTATTTGTAAAGACAACCCCTATCTCTTCTCTCTATCCGTCTGCTTTTCGGAATATCATATCCCAGGGATCCCAGTTGCCCTGTATAACATTATGGGGATGTTCAAACACACAAGAGCATCTGAGAGCAGCAAACACCCAGGAATGTGTGAATGCAAAGGATGTGGAACGCCTCGCTCCAAAGAGAGAGACCGTAACAGTGAAAGAGTGAGCGGGGATGGAGGCTGCATATAAATGTGGCTTTCTAGAGCTGGTGCCTCTCTGGGAATTTGCCACAGCTCTGTGTGAGGAAATGTAGTGACCGCAGTATGTGTGTGTATGAGAGAGAGAGAGATTTTTTAAAGGGTGTGATTCTTCTAGAATGCCTGCTAAAAGCAAATGAAGAGCCACTTGCGCTAACAAAGACAGGACAGCTTTGCCTCACAAACAGCCATCTGATCTCTGTCTCACATCAGATGTCTCAAATTAGGCCCATTTAAACCCCCTCAGGCCTGCATTTGGCTTTTAATGCATGGAGCACTGTGTTGAATGGGACATTGATTGGTTGAGGTTTCAGTTAGAGGTCATATCAGTGAAATTGCATGTCCAAACACTCTTCCCTTGGACAAACTCCTCACAGAGGATGACGGCATTTTTCTAGGAGGAATGTGGGATTACCCGTAGCGTGTATCTACCTGTGCTAAGATCAAGAATCCTTTTTTTTTTAAAATACAGGTTGAAGGCATTTGGTTTTATTAATGGTTCTAGGAACTAAATAACTACTATTCAGCTCGGGTAAGTTCAGTGTTGTTTCAATTTAGTTCAGTAACTCACAGGTCGTCAATTATGAAGCAAGTTCAATTCAGTTATATACAGCTCTACAGAAGGCAACAGTGTCATTATTCAACTCAAGTGATTCAGTTCTGTTCAATAGCAGGGCGAATGCAAAATTCATCAGTTATGAAACAAATCTTATTCAGCTATAAAGTAGCTCTACAGACAAAAATAGTGTCATTTCATTTCAGGTTTTGTTCACATCCAATAGAGTATAAAATTATAGCCTAAACTTGCAGCACGGTCAGTTTAATGCTAATGACGCTAATAAATCAAACAAACTCATAGTTCTTAACCAAGAAAGTCTAAATAATATTTGATACAAGTTATCTGTTAGCATGGTCATTTCAATGATAGTTGCTTGGATGGCCATGCATCCTTGAATGCATGATTTGAAATCTGCCATCTTTTGGGTGTTCAGTTCTGTATCCTGCTTGTTTTAAGCCAATCAAAAGCCACAAATACACACACAACTCTTTACTAGCCACTATCCAGAGCTGTGATGTCAAAGACAGCATACATAAAAAAGCGCATGCTTTTAAGAGCCCTGTAAAAATTAAACGTGCACTGGCAACTTGTATATTATTAATATGTCATATTAAAAAAATTGCTTGCAATTATTTTTTATTGCATCAGATTACTTATCCAAAAAAATACTAATTGCAGCCAAATGATGTATTTACAGCATCTACCAGCAGGGACAAACAGGGCTATGCAACCCAGCAAAACCTTGACTCTTTTTCTCCAACAGTATTGGGTTCCAGACATTTTAACATTTATTTGAGATTTGTGGTCCTCATACAGATTATTAGTGACTCAGCAAGAGGAAAGGAATGGGTTTGATGTGACAACTGCATTATTAATAGCTCACATTTAAAGCTGTGAGATCCGGGGTGTTCTGGTACTAAGCGTCTTTTGTTCCCTCCTCACATCCCTGAGCTTCAAAATCTTAAATTTGAGGTGAAAATAATGATGAATGTCTAACTCAAGGTGCTTTTGTGTTCATGTTAAATGGTGAGAAATGACTTTTATGTGTGTATGTGTCTGGAGTGTTTGGTCAGACTCCATTAACAATGCTTGGTCTGAAGGTACAATGACAACACCATGAATCAAAGCCCATAAGCCTGAGGACTGTGTGTGTGTGTGTGTTAGTGTGTAAGAGAGATGGCAGTGCTTTTTGAAATATTCCCCCGCTGGCTGATGTAATTACAGTTCACACAAACCCCCTTTACAGAGAATAGCTGTGATTTCTCACCATTTAACCTATTATTTTATTTCCATTCAAGTGCACTCCTCTAAAATACTTACAAGATTCAGTACTTTGAAAAGCAGCTACGTGGCTGTTATTTAGGGAAGTATTTAGATTGTTAGCTGGTCATTCAAAACTAGTTAGCTAATTATATATTATAGTCTCTTTACAGTATGTACATTTTTCATAGTTTTAACAGTGTTGCTTTGAAGTTGATGAATTTAGAGATGCTGATTCCATAAGATGGTTTTAGCATGCTTGGAACATTAGCCTTAGACCACAATGTCCACAATCCCAAACTGTAACTGCACAAAACTGCAATTCTTGCCCAGAATCAGATACAGTTTGATATGGCTTTCCAGCTTATTCTGCAAAACGGAAGTGAGCTATTTCTCTGAAATTTTATAAAGAATAGTTAACCTAAAAAATGCAAATTTGCTGAAAATGTAGTCACCCTCAGGGAATTCAATCTTCATTGGAACAGATTTGGTGAACTTTAACATTACATCGCTTGCTCACCAATGGATCCTCTGCAGTGAATGGATGCCGGCAGAATGAGAGTCCAAACATCTGATAATAACATCCCAATAATCCAGAAGTAACCCACACAACTTCAGTTCATCAATTAACATCTTGTAAAATGAACATCTGCATGTTTGTAAGAAACAAAACCATTATTAAGGCATTTTAACTTTAAACCGATGCTTCTGGTCAAGATACCAGTATGTAATCCATAATTCATCCTCCAGTGAAAAAAGCTGATCTCCTCTTGTCCTCTCACATCAAAATCAACAAACATATTTGTTTAGATCTGTTTTGGACTGTTTTTGCTTATAAACAGACTGTTTGTGCTTTCCTGTTTGATCTGTACTGTCTTATCCAATGAAGGCACAAAAAGGCCAAAAATATAACTTAAAAATTATTAAGTTATGATTATTGTAATTTCATCGGCTGTTTGGACAAACTTTCCACTTTATTTATCTTAACCATAACTAAAAACATTCTGTGGTAAATTCTTGAATATACCAGCCCAGACGTGTCTGACATAAACATTCAAAAGATTGGCCACTACTGAAATTCTAGAGAAGTCTCTCATACGATCTTGGATACCTGATGCCATCAGTGTGTGTGTGTGTGTGTGAGCTGTAGTCTGAGCCAGTGGAGCAGATGTTGGGTGCTCAGCTTACAAATGACTTTGGAGGATTTCCCAATGAGATGTGGAATGGCTTATTCTCCACCGAGATTTCAAAACAAGGGTCTAAAAATAAAGTCTGTGCTAAGTCTCTCATCAGTGAAGACGATAAAAGCATCAGTCGTGCAGCCCTGAGTTTCAGCCCACAGATTCAGCATGCAGAAGGATTGTCAGCGTGTGTTGGAGTTCAGTGTTTATTTGCAAAATATTTGCATTTCACAAAATTTGAATTGAATCCACCCAAATATGAACATTTGGTTTTAACATCAGGGATGACAAATCCCATGGTTCTTGAGTATCCCAAGAACCATGGATGGATATTATATTATCATCTGTCTTACAAGTATGTGTTGTGACATTCTTAATTAACAAAGAAGGAAAGAAAACTTTTTTTTTCTGTGCAGTAATATTTTATTTAAACTATACATGCCGTGTTAAAAAAAAGTCAACAAAAATATTCTTAAACAATGACTGTAATTATTTACACTTTCACAGTACAGCTTTACAATATCTACACATTAAAATATTCCAGAAAAGAAAAGCTGTATTCCAACTGCCAATGTTTGCACAGTATTAAAAATAAAGACCAGTCTGGTTTCTTTGCACATAGAGTAGTGACTGAACATTAAAGGCTTGAAGTCAGATTGCAGATTTATATTGCAATATACAAGGCAGCTCAACACAGGACAACCTGAACCAGAGCACAGGATCAACTCTCTCTCCTTTAATAAAACTGAACTTTAGCAGGTGATGATGCGCCAGTCTCCGCTCAGCTGCTCTAATACAATCAGAACATGTAAACAAACATGAAGCTTTGGGCTTGATCAGGCAAGTTTCCCCTCAATATACTGAAATTCCCAATAATTTCTCTAATCGTAGATGACCCTCTCAAAAAAACACTCAAATTTCGATTTGACCCCATTAAATTTTGTGAAATATAGTGAGCTGAGAGTCAGGTTATATACATTTTAGATTTACAGTACATTCATTACATGGCATGGCATCATCGCAAATTAGCACCTTCCAGAAATGCATAAGTATAAAATGGCAGGTCCAGCCATATTATGGTCTTCCCATCCAGGGCCGTAACCACTGAAAATATTGAGGGGATGCACCTGCCCCCACTCCAGATATTCAGATTACTGGTCAGTTGGTATGGATTTTGCAATGACCGTTTCCTAAAATTTCACCCTTGGGTTGCATCTCTGCTCATATCCAACCAAAAATTATTTGTTTGATGTTAGTGCAATGTGGAAAACCAAACTGCGCTCTCATTACTTTAATAAGGCACACAAATATACTGATCCAGGTAAACTTACCTTGAAAATATCCACACTTAAATAGCTGTATATTCACAATAACTCTATCACTGGCACGACTCTGCAAGACACACTGGTAGGTATTGCAGTGATTGTACACTTATAGTGAGTATGCAATTGAGGCCTCTGTTCTTTTAAACAATGTATGGAGCTGAAGCTGGGTTTTGTCACAGAGCTGAAAAGTGGTTTGTAGTAAGGAATGTGCTGTTTGCAGTTTTATGTAATACTTTGCCCAGGATTCAAAAAGTAAGCTTTCTGAAATGGTTTAAACTGCAAGGAATATTCAAGAACGTAAAAGGAGACAAAAATGGTCTTGCACTTCATAGACCCAACAGCAGTACTTGGCATGTAGGAAAGGAGAGAGGTTAATCAATGATCTGCCTTACATCATAGTTGAAAATTGACTTTATGGGATTACAAGATTCCCAGTGATTTTCTGAAACTAAAAATGACCAAAGAGAATAATGTACATTTGACCAGCGTGATCCTGTGCTGAGCCTGTGGGTTTAAAAGCTTGATGCAGCTTGACACACAGAACTGTTGCATGGAATGCCACACTGGAGTCTGTTAAACATTGTCATTGTCTACACTTAGCAGCACAAATGTTGAGGGCACTTTTACCCTGTGAGTTTTAAAATCAGTAGTCCAAGCAGGAGCCCTGGACATTTCTTTTGCACACAGAAATGATTAATTAATGTCTTGACTTCTGTGTCCAAACACATCTGATGTTAATGCACCTTAAATGGGATTTAGTTTAATGACAGCGATGACTCAAGCTTGTTCTCAGTTTACTGAAAAAAACATGGTCAATGAATGCACACTGGTTAGCCCCAGGGACTAATCAAACACAGACACGCAACATGTCCCTTTCACTCTGTCTGTCTTCTGGAGAGATATCCAAGCAAGAATATCATATTTTCCAAACAGTCTAACAAATATGGTTCACATTGATGGGGAGAACAGTGCATAGGGAGCATACGCTGCCCGATAGCCGCAGCAACTATGCAGCTGCTTTATGCTGCATGTCAGCTGTGACCTATGACCTCAGGCGTCCCTGCCGCCACTCAAGCGTGACAGGACAACGTCATTGAGAAATAGCACAACTACCCGAAACAGAAGCTCTGGCATCCGATTCATTTCCCTTCATAGGGAACAGAGACTGGCACGCCATATCTCTGCGGGCCAAACACTTTTACTCCCACTGTCCATTCATAGAGTAAGATCCTGCTAAGCATTTCAGTAGCTATACTTGTTTACAGCCCTCATTTGTGCAGTCTGTGGTGCAAAGCCATTGGGTTTGGCTGGCACATCGGGCTTTAACGATGCGGTCCGTTTGATGGATGTTCGTGGTAAAGACCCATGACCACTGTAGCTGCTCTGCCGGGACATGGAAGGTGTCATAGCCATTGGTACCCCGTGAGAGTCTAGTCTAGTGGGTGGGGTAGGAGTTGGGGCCATGTACCCACCTCTGTTCAAACTAGGTTGCCGGGACACTATTACCCCGCCAGGTGAGTGCAGCCCTTTGGGCGGCGAGGAAATGGAGTGTCGCTGGGATGAACTGCGGTGATACCGCTGTCTCTCGAGAGTGCCCATCTGCCCTGTGGGCGATGTTGGTGTAGTTGGCACATCCAGTCTCTTGGTTGGGCTATTCCTGGGTAAAGAGGAAGAGGGAGAGTACAAGGAGGCCTCTCGGCTTGGGACTTTGGGTGGAATCTCCGTTGGGCTTACAATGGGTTCCAGCATTAGGTGCTGTCGGGATTTGGGCATCTCCACCATGATAGCCTTGGGGTTGCTCTCATTGAGGTGCTTCAAGAGGTCATTCAGTGTGTTCTTGGCATCCACAGTACGCCGCTGGTCTTTACGGCCAGATTTGGAACCATGTTGATCACTATTCTGGATCTTCTTTTCTGCCCGAGGCCCTTCAGAAGTACTGAAGGCTGCCCTGTTCTCATGTGTGGCATTGGGCAGTACCACAGCACTGGGGATGTGGGGGCTGCTGACAGTGGAATGGGGTGGGGGACTGGAAGGAAGGTACTGCTGGCTTTTGGGTGGCCCATCTTTGCGGGAGCCACTTATCTTTCCATGAGCTCTCTCCCATTGGTTCTTAATTGGCTGAAGGCTCTTTTGTTGCAGCACTGGTGTGGACTCGGGTGTAGGCAGTGCTGCTAGTTCTGGTGGCTGCCCACTCAAGAGCATCGTCTTAGTGTCTCCGGTGGTTGGCACCTCCCTCCCATTGCTCAACAGGTTGGTGTAAAGTTTGGGAGTATCCATATTGGGTTGGTACTCTTTCACAGGACTGTCGAACAGACCGTTTAGCTTGGCAAAGCTGCCAGTGGAATCAGTGCATGACTGTGCTGACTCTGCATCTTTTTGGATCTTGCGTGGAGTGCGAAGGAAAGCATCTCTATAGCAGTAAACGACCATGCCAGCGATGAATGCACCGAGCAGGAATGCAGCTAACACACAGGAGATAAGGATATTCATATGCACCATCTGGTTAGATTCACCTGCTTGTATTTCCCACACACCTGCAACACAGATAGCCAAATACCATGTTAACTCACTCGCACAGTTGACCACTGAACAACTCTCTCTTTAAGCAAAAAGTCCTTTCCCCCCCGCAAAGGATGCTCAACAATTTGGTGTGAATCGAAAGCATACAACTGTTATTTCCAGCATTTTAGAAGCTTTATAATTAAATCTACCTAGCAAGAAATTCTGAAAATACAATGAGATATCCTGTTATTATATTAGTAAAGGAGGCAAATTAGTAAAGAGGTGTGGTGGAACATTTTATTGCACATGGGTTGCAGTATCAGGTGAGTTAGTATGTTGTTGTTTTACATGAGAGCTTTCCCAAAGAGAATTAAGCCCGCTGTCTTTGTTTAGTACCCGGGGTGAGTGTTGTTAGTGTCGGCATATATTCGAAAGAGTTAGTTGGTGAATAATGTTGCTTGAGAGGTGCTTAAAAGTGTTGCTTAGTGGCAAGGCCTTTGGAATATTTCCTAAAACCCAAAACCATGGGCAGAGAAAGAAAAGGATGAAAGAAGATAAAGATGTAGCCATTTAAGACAGATTGAACAAAAAAATGTAAAAGAAAATGCATTAAACGAAAATATATGTAAAATAAAGTTAAACATGGAGGACAAATCATAGTAACATAAAAGATTTATAAAAGTAGGGAAAAATAAAAATAAAAAGCTTTATACACTGATGGAATCTAAGTATAGCTGCTTGTATCATTTCAATACACTTCAAGACAACTAGGCATTGTGCTGACCCGAAAGTTTTCAAGAGCACTTGCACTCGGAGTCTGCATCCCTACTTTGTTAATGTAGTGTGACTGACTGCAGTATTGCTTATCATGCCATTCTGGTAAGGAATGGGCTGCTATCAGAGATGTATGCACTCTCTCAGTAGACTAGCAGCACTAATAGCAGCTATTACCCAGAATTCCATGCAGCAGCGCAGAGTGCTCTGGTCAAGGCCTTACCCTCCAGCACACCTGGTATATGCTCAACAGAACGTGAAGTGGCTGGGTCATCTTGGAGCACAAATTTCCGTGAGCCAAAGAGTTGGGGAATCTGAGTGGGGATGGTTTGGGGTGATTGTATGGGTTCAGAGGTCGCGGGCACTGTGACTGACGATGATGGCAACTCCATGTCTGTAGCGACAAACAAACTGTTATAGAAACTGAGCCCATGATAGGCGCAACGTAACGATTGGGGTTAGTGCATACTGACAGGATGTCATATGTCAGTTTATAGGATTCATTGAGGCAATTTTTTAGAGATTGACTCTGATGTTATGAACCATTACAGGGAAGTAATGGCTGTGCAGAGTCTCAGGTAAGGAAAATTTCAGCCTGAGAGGAGGGAAAGGATGAAGATTATCTCTAATAGAATGAGGAGACGACAATATAGTCCAGGGAGATGATAAGGTGGAGGCAGCACATATCCATGCAAGAACGAAAGAATGAATGAATGAAATGATGGACAAGCTGGTGCTGAGAGATCAGGTGCCTCTCAATGATAATATGATGAAAAGCACAGGAATAAGGGTAGGTGCAGCAGTAGAGGAGAAAAGAAAGGGAGAAAGATGAACTCAAGGAATGAAATCAGTGCAGTACAGGAAACTAACCAGAGGTTGGGTCGCCATATGATTTGAAATCTGGCGCTGATGTAGTGGCCAAAAATTCTAAAAGAATTAAAGGAACAGGAAATCAGCATAAAATAACAAAAATAAAAGTCTGAAATTATAAAAATGCTAAAATAGTTTTTATTAAATTACAAAAGAATAAAAAAGTGTTTGTTTTCCTCTGGTTTACGCTGTAACGCTCTTTCACTTTCTGTAATGTTAAGGCGGGAGCCTACACAATGTATGTGCAAACATGTGAGTGTTTAATTGTCAGAGGAATTAGTATGATGTTTGTGTCATATGTGTTAATTTCAGTCAGCTGAGAGTGTGAGGGGGTTATTGATGTCACAACTTCTAACTAATGTTTCTGAAAAGGGGCACGTGTTGATGAGCTCACCATGACAATCGCCGAGGTGAGCTGTGTTGCCGTATTCAACATCTTGCTCATAACCAGTTCTGCAAAACAGGAAAAAGAGTAATAAGATATTGAGTTTGTACTTAGGATGCAAGTTTTGGCCATCATCATTAATATATACTGTATTGCCTGTTTTTTGTTTTGTTTTTTTAAACAGCAGGTATCAAAACATAAAATATATGTTTCATGAAGAAAAGTGAAAGAATCTAGCTCAGTTTTGTAGGAAATCGGTTGCCAGTGATGATTGTTCAGTTTAGTGTTCTCAGTATGTCCTCCTTGCATTTTCTAGTTAAATCTGAATAATTTTGTGATTGACTTACTGCACAGCTGCAGGAATGCGCTCACAAGCTCCATGTGACATCCAGCCGCAGTAGGGGTCTCTAGATGCAATACAAGACCTGCAACACACCAAGAATATTGTTTATACCAACACAATATGAAAAATAAACACACTACACAATGGTTAAAGAGGTTTTGTGCTGTTCAGACTACAAAAATTAAACATACTTGAATTGCATATGCCAAAAAAAAAATATTTTGCTGCCTGTATAAACAGTGTTGCATTCAGGACTCACTTTTGACAGGAACTGTGTCGTTCACAGCGGCTGAGTGGTATTCTGACCACACAGCTGGAAAAGGCCACATAGAGTGTGTGGGTGTCTTTATCTAGATGGAAAGACAGAATTCGCCGATCGTCCTCATTGCTGGATAAACACCTGGGAGAAAAACAGAACAGACGGAGGAAGATGGTGAAGAACAGATAAATCACATGTTATCGGATCTATCCGTCAGTCACTGTTTTCTTCAGTCACAGTTCAGCAGAAGGATAACAAAAACCACACACACTGATGAGGGAGAATGAAAACATTTCACTTTCACATTAAACAGATCTAATCTCATCTCAAAGGATCCAAAATATTCATTCAGGTCACAATTTGGGACTCATTACTGAGTAAATAGCCAAGACTGCTTCATAAAATGACTCTGGTGTCTACAAATACGTTTCCCACAATTTAAAGTCAAAGAGAATGTGCCTAGAGACTAATCATGAGATAATTATAGGATGAGAACATACTTGGCTTGGTTGAAAACATCGATCTCCTCTAATAGGATGCTGTCATTCAAAGACAGTGGGGACGTCTTAGCCAGAACTTTTAGGACCATGCCTGCCTCAGAGCCAATGAAAACCACCGTGTAATTCTTCTGGGGTCCTGCAGTGTTATCAACGGCGAGTGCCGTGAGCCTGTACCTACAAAGACAAAGGAAAAACAGGGCCGCTTTTCAGTTGCAAGGAGACGCCTAATTTACAACAGCTTAACTTGAGCTGACACAGGACAAAACATGTTGAAACGTGACATCTATCAAGACCTGAGCTAGTTAAATTAGGCGTGCCAGTTGTTTAGAATGTGAAACCAACGCTCTTTGCTGGGAGGGTTATAAAATGTTTACCCGATACTTATTTAACAGCTGACATTGGGTCAAGATGGCAAACTGTTCAGTGTGTTGTATTGTAATTATATGTTTTTATGTAAAAATCTGTGCTAGTATTAGATTTCTTTCTGATGGATTTTTCAGACTGGCCTGAATGGTGGCACTGTGTCCGTACCTGACTCTTGTTTTGGTGAACCACGGTTCGTCTCCAATGGAGGGGACTGAGGCGTCCATGAGTGGGTGTGACTTAATGAACTGAAGGGTCTCGTCTGGAAACTCGATTGAGGTTTTGTAAGACTCTGCAGAACCATGTCCCGCACAGCAGCCAGGTCTGAAAAGACAAAACACACACACATGCAGTTCTGGTTGAGGGAAAGAGGGCAGAGCCATGTGCCACATGCCTGTAAATCTATACCCGCCTCCATATGGCCACTGCACACATAGGTTAAATATGCAGCATGTCCAATTATCGCTTGTTAATTATTAATGTCACAATGATTAGCCCGTCACGCACTAGTGCGTGCACCAACCTGGGCTTTGGCAGCTTCTCCTCTGGAAATGGCGTCCACACTGAATCTGGCGTCTTTTGCTCTTTGAAACGGCCATGGAATGCATTCTCAATGTCCACCATGGAGAACGCACACACCGCAGAGCCAGGGATACTGAATAAGTCAGAAACAGCGGCATTAGCGCTATTTAGCCTGTTTCCATGTGAAGATTTTGTGGAAAGGATTGTGGCAAGCTTTACCTGTTCAACTGGGTGGTGAAAACTCCAACCACAGAAGGCACCCCATTAATGTCGATGATATCCGTAATAGCCTGGAGGACGTCAAAGTAGAAAAACGATTCTCCAGGAACGGAACAGTTCAGGCGAGCCTTAACAAAAGATGTCCAGTGTTTTTCCAGCACCCGCTGAGACCCTCCCATGTCATTTTTACAGATCCGAGCCACTCTGGAGTAAATCGCCTGCAGCGAGAGAAAAATAGCGGGAGAAACTCAGCATCGCTCTCTAAATAATAGAACTATCTCCCCAGTGGCTAAGTTGAATCTAAATATACGCAAGACATTTTTATTTTTTTATCTTAGAACAAAACTGCAGTGTGCTAGAGGGCTTGAATTAGCACCATGTAACCATCTTAATAATTCACTACTGTAAAACCTGCTCTCGATGCAGGTGTTGATTGCAATATTAACTAAACTTAAATATTCATTAGTCTGTGGTATAAAGAAGTCGTTATATAGGCCAATTTAAAGCAAATCCTGAGGCAATGGATGATATATTGACCCTCTGGGACAAACATTAATCTCTAAATAAATGCCTATGAATACTACATTAACATACAAATCAGAACTACATTAATACAGCTCAGAAACCATGGTATTACCATCTGATACCATCACTAATACCATGGTACATTAATTTTTGTGTGTGTTTTGTGAACATCTGTAGCAATGTTAGCATTGTGCACTACATTGCGAGTCATACCTTTCCCAAGTTGTTGTGCTCAGCAGCGATTTCTCTGAAAAAGAAGTAGACAAAATCCCCATAATCCACGGCGTGGAGAAAATGTGGCTCTGGAAGAGAAAGAGAGAGAAGCATTAGCATCCCCGCCGCTGACCTCAAGTTAAATTTTGATGCGTTTTTGTTGGAATGGCTGAGTGTTGACCTAGTTTGTGCCACAGGAAGCTGGATTTTACATCAACAACCGCCATTTTCTGTTCTCCCACACCGACTCATTTCTTTAAGGTACGGTTCAAGTTATAGGTCAGATGTGTACTGGGTTCAACAAGGTTTGCATAAAATGCTGACTAGCATGTATGTTAAGCAGACAAGCGAGAGTTTCTGTACCTTTTAACCACTTGGAGTCATACTTGATGGTGCGAAGAGCAGAACCATCTCCCATGCTGCGATAAATCACAGCATCGCTGGCCAGGAAGTCTGCCACCGTCGCTGAGTACAGTTTACCATCTATGACATAAATATGTGAGCTTAAATCACACTTCAGCATCATTACGCAACTACATACAATTCAAGCAATGTACTTGGAATTCAGCACACATTTGCAGAACACTAAACGCCTATCCACACCAAGAACGAAACAGAAAAGCGAAACAAATCTCAGAGGAAAGGTCTATTTAGACCAAACGAAAAAAACAAAAAAACACTGGTCATTTTTAAATGCAAGAGATAATGAACAAGATATAAAATTTTTACTTCCTTGCACCTGCTCTTTTATATGTCCCAGGTACTGAAAAAAAAGAAATTCTGCTATCTAAATAATAATAATAATAATAATGAATACAGTTTCTTGTTTTAACCATATATCTAATTAAATTTAGTGAGTTTAATGCTTAAAATATTTTGATATTTGAACTAGCAAACAAGACAAAAATACAGATTAAGAGTTTTTTTGCAGTATGTGGCCTGTACAGACTCATTCAGATGCATGTGTGGTATCAAAGTGTACTAATTCTCGCCGGGTTGTGCCGTTCCTGTCTGTAGCCTATACTAAAAGAGCTGGCGTGAAGACAGGACGTTCGCGTGGCATCTGATTTATGTGCAACATCAGTCTCGGCTCTCATTGGAGCGTTAATTTTATCCAAAACCTTTAAAATTCATGGCAAAGTTATTCATCATCCTCCTCATTATCCTGACAGCTCTCATACTTTTACTTTACTTTACTTTTAGTCATTTAGCAGACACTTTTATCCAAAGCGACTTACAAATAAGAAAAAGTAATTAAAACTAAAAGCTAAAACTCTATAAATACTATATATATACACACATTAAGAAAAATAAAATAAATTAAATAAAAATCACAAATGCATACAACAACATCATACCAGCAAACAGGGCAACGTTCGTCTGCTTGGCGTCAAACGGGCATCGGGCCAAACCGCTGATCTCTTCCCCATCAAACTCCAAGTTATCCAACTAAATAAGAGAGAGAAATAGAGTCCTTATCTTCATTTTACTGTAAAACTGCTCCCATTCATATTAACCAGTCACTTATTAAAAGCAAAACAACAGGCAGACAATCACGTAGGCCTTATAAACAGCGTGACCTACCCTGTAGTAACGGCACATGGGGTTGAAGCCATTTGTTCCGCAGATGAACACAAGATCATCGTTTCTCGGAACCAGGACTTTAATGAAATTATGGCACTCATCCTGAGAGGAAGACAAGACAGTGAGATTTATGGTCGCTTCAGTGCTGTAAATAACACAGAACCAGTGACAAGTGATTTATGCTGAAAAGCTGGAGGACTCACTCTGTGCTTTCCCTTCATGGCACATGTCTCCCTGTCCGCCTGCCCCGACCGCCACGTCAGCTTCTGTAACATCACACACCATCACCATTAGACACAGCTTCCCACCCGCACACTCTTAATCATTAATTTGAACTAGCAAACAAGACAAAAATACAGATTAAGAGTTTTTTTGCAGTATGTGGCCTGTACAGACTCATTCAGATGCATGTGTGGTATCAAAGTGTACTAATTCTCGCCGGGTTGTGCCGTTCCTGTCTGTAGCCTATACTAAAAGAGCTGGCGTGAAGACAGGACGTTCGCGTGGCATCTGATTTATGTGCAACATCAGTCTCGGCTCTCATTGGAGCGTTAATTTTATCCAAAACCTTTAAAATTCATGGCAAAGTTATTCATCATCCTCCTCATTATCCTGACAGCTCTCATACTTTTACTTTACTTTACTTTTAGTCATTTAGCAGACACTTTTATCCAAAGCGACTTACAAATAAGAAAAAGTAATTAAAACTAAAAGCTAAAACTCTATAAATACTATATATATACACACATTAAGAAAAATAAAATAAATTAAATAAAAATCACAAATGCATACAACAACATCATACCAGCAAACAGGGCAACGTTCGTCTGCTTGGCGTCAAACGGGCATCGGGCCAAACCGCTGATCTCTTCCCCATCAAACTCCAAGTTATCCAACTAAATAAGAGAGAGAAATAGAGTCCTTATCTTCATTTTACTGTAAAACTGCTCCCATTCATATTAACCAGTCACTTATTAAAAGCAAAACAACAGGCAGACAATCACGTAGGCCTTATAAACAGCGTGACCTACCCTGTAGTAACGGCACATGGGGTTGAAGCCATTTGTTCCGCAGATGAACACAAGATCATCGTTTCTCGGAACCAGGACTTTAATGAAATTATGGCACTCATCCTGAGAGGAAGACAAGACAGTGAGATTTATGGTCGCTTCAGTGCTGTAAATAACACAGAACCAGTGACAAGTGATTTATGCTGAAAAGCTGGAGGACTCACTCTGTGCTTTCCCTTCATGGCACATGTCTCCCTGTCCGCCTGCCCCGACCGCCACGTCAGCTTCTGTAACATCACACACCATCACCATTAGACACAGCTTCCCACCCGCACACTCTTAATCATTAACAATGTACTACACCATGGGCAGGGACAGAAAGACAGAAACAGAAACCTAGCGATTTACAAAAAGTGCTGCCATGACTGGAATTGGAACTAAGATGAACTTTACTTGTCACACCTCGTTGGGACAAGAGCACTTTGGTCATAAATTAATTTACTGTGAACCCACCCTGTATGGAATAATCTCATTCCTGTAGGACTCTCTCAGACTCACTAAATACACCTGGTCCCTGCGAGAGAGAGAGAGAGAGAGAGAGAGAGAGAGAGAGAAATAATTGGTTTACACACAAATTACTACTCATAGTTCTACTGTTCATCAACCAGCTCATCTGAACTGTCTCGCTTTCACATCCTGTGCTGACTTACCTGCCTGCGATGAAAAGCGTATCATGTATCTTGGTCATCAGCTGAAAGTCCAGTCTGTGCTGAGATTCGTTGCCAGAGGGGCGTCCACGGAACACGGGGTACTGTCGTGCATCTGCAGAACAAACAGATGCGCCGTTATTCAGTATTAGCGTCAACAGAGATCGATGTAGTGGCAATTGCATGTTAAACAGCCCTGAAGAAAGATTTTGCTAAAGTAATGAATATTACACCAGCAGGTCCCACATTGATGTCCAGCGAATGCACTGTCAGCATGCTGGAGCGTTTTCTCACTGCAGAGCACAGCAGCGCTAATGCAACGACTCTATTTGTGTATGTCTTCTTCCAAAGAATGTGGATGGCTGTTTCTTCAAAAAAAATACAGGCACTTTCATGTCCCAAAAATGTCCATGCCTTACCATCATTTATTTTTGCAACCTTTCAAATTACTTATTGTGCTTTTATTGGTTTAATCTAGTACCAAACCCAGACTTTCAATATTGAACTAGAAACATCCATTATAAAAATATATTATTTATTCGTATAATATTAGATTATTATAATGTTGTTTATTAAAACAAGAATGAAACAAGCCATTTCAATATTTAAATATTCTCAAAATGTTCCATATTTTCTTTCATTTGTGATGTAATTTCCAGCACAAATAATTTAGCTACTAAAGTTTATTTTTAAGTTAGTGTTAGTCAAAAGTGTCAATGAAGAAAATGTTTAGGATAAAATAGAGACCTAAAACATGAAAATATGTGTATAAGAAAAAAAACATGGATAAACATCAATTTAATTTGAGAATATTATCATATATTTTAGAATATTATTGTCTGCCCAAGTGTAATTTTGTTAAATTATGAAAAAAGTGTGTTTTTGTGGCTCCTTTTTTCCTTTGAAAAAAAAATAATAATAATAATCCATTCTGTGTTGTATGTATATCCACTAGCCATTGCTTATGGGAAATGTGATGCACTAGTGAGAGTGTAAAAAAAGTGTGCTTAATGGCAGTTTACTTTCTAAAAGCCTGCAGTGCCAAAGGTGCCTCTAGTTGAAGAACCTTTTTTTAAGAACTTGATAAAGATTTTATGCAGATGGTGACAATTCAGAAACAATGTGGTGTCTGCTGGTTCTTACAGTGTCGGTCCACAACGTCTAAAGGGATGTTGTCCTCAGGAAAGCTCACAGCCTCCAGATGGGACACCAACAACAGCAGTAGCAGTAGGTCAATCGTCAGTTCTCGCCACCCCATTGCTGGCACAGAGGTCACACACCTCCTGTACTGCACTTATGTAAATGTTACCTGCAACATACACAAATGCATGCAGTCAACACCATCAGCCACTATTTATAACTACTTCCTCTTTTTTTTTTGCATGACCTCTGTCAGGATTTGCTATGTAGATTAGAATGTCTGGTTTTTGTGTGTACGCATGTAGGTCCACTCCCAACAGATCATTTAGTGTGTGTGTGTATATGTGCGTGTGTATTTGGCATCTGTCCATGAGAGGAAGGTCAAAAAACAGACAGAGAGGGGGTGGAAAGCGAGCGCTTAAAGGGTTAGTTCAGTCAAAAATGAAAATTACCCCATGATTTACTTACCCTCAAGCCATTCTAGATGTATATGACTTTCTTCTTTCAGACAAATACAATCAGAGTTATATTAAATAATGTTTAGGCTAACCCATGCTTTATAATTGGAGTGGATGGTAGCCCAAAATTTCAAGTCCAAAAAACTGCACCCATCGATTATAAAAGTTAATAGTTTTATATTAAGTTAATAAAAGTTAATTAAAAGTTAATAAAAAACTTCAGAAGTTTTTGTAAGAAACATATCCATATTTTACAACTTTATAAACCTTATTCTCTAACTTCTGCTAACTGTCGTATGTGTGTTCACGAGAGAGTGGCGTCCAGTGGATGATGTTGGGCGTAGACGTAGCATAAGCTCTGGTGAGAATATGCGATCAAAAAACAGACAGAGAGGGGGTGGAAAGCGAGCGCTTAAAGGGTTAGTTCAGTCAAAAATGAAAATTACCCCATGATTTACTTACCCTCAAGCCATTCTAGATGTATATGACTTTCTTCTTTCAGACAAATACAATCAGAGTTATATTAAATAATGTTTAGGCTAACCCATGCTTTATAATTGGAGTGGATGGTAGCCCAAAATTTCAAGTCCAAAAAACTGCACCCATCGATTATAAAAGTTAATAGTTTTATATTAAGTTAATAAAAGTTAATAAAAAACTTCCGAAGTTTTTGTAAGAAACATATCCATATTTTACAACTTTATAAACCTTATTCTCTAACTTCTGCTAACTGTCGTATGTGTGTTCACGAGAGAGTGGCGTCCAGTGGATGATGTTGGGCGTAGACGTAGCATAAGCTCTGGTGAGAATATGCGAGTCTTGTGAGAAAAAAGTTTTGTTGAGAAACAGCAAAGGAAAACCAGTGTCCTCTTGGCTTATATTGAAATCGTTTTGTACTACTAATTTGTGACTGGTGTTTTGTTTTGCTCTCTCCTCTGCGCTTCCACGTTCGTCACTTCCGTGTTCGTCACCGCGTTTGCCTACGTGCTAAGTCATCGTGCTATGTGCTCCGATTGTATTCGTCTGAAAGAAGAATGTCATATACACCTAGGATGGCTTGAGGGCAAGTAAATCAAGGGATAATTTTAATTTTTGGGTGAACTATCCCTTTAAGACACCACAAAAGCTAGCTCTGATACACACTTAAACACATACACTGTATTTAAGGATGTATTTTGTGTACTATTAAGTGTGCATGCGTGTGTTTGGATTGAGTACAATAATGGGGAGTGTGTTTGCTGTGCCTGGCACAGAAGTCTCCAAATGAACTTTCAAACAGGAAGATTTTCAGAGGTCTGCATGCTGTGGTTGGGGTCTTATCCTGGAGAGACAATCATTTGTGCATATTAATGAGAAGTGTAAAGTCAAATATTTATATAAAGCTACAGATTATTCATGCCAGCAAAGCCCGAACGGATATAAACTATTTACATGGAGACAACAAACAGCTTGGCAGAAAGAGAGAGAGTGTCACGATTCGCTGTGGGAGGAACGAGAGAGAAACGTGCAGTACAAGCAAAAGTCTTTAATCCAGGAATCACAGGGGATAATCCACAACAGGAACATGGGAAACACACGACATCCAACAAGTAGACCCGACAAAACCAAACTGAACAGACTGGGGCTTATAAACACAGGGCAATCAGGGGAACACAGGTGCATGGAATCATAAAGTAATCAAAAATTTATGGAAAAAGACCATAAAAGGAAACACAGGAAGAACTACGGAGGCAAAATGGGTCCAAAAATCTGACAGAGAGTGAGTGAGTCAGGCCTCAACCACTTCCTGAGTGAGTCCCGCCACACATGCTTGCATACAGTATTGACATTTTAGCAATTAGCGGCCCTGTGCACCTGCACCCATGCTGTAATATGCATATGCTGCCTGTACCACCCTGCTATTATTGATTAGCTGTTGATTGATCAGTTCTCAATTAATCAGCTGAATGGGACGTGGCCTGGGGAAATTATCCAACTGAAATACGATCCACAGTCTTTCAAGGAAAAAGAGATTCTCTGCTCATCTGTTGCCATAATGGATCTCCATTTCTACAGACTGACTACAAGTGATTCTGGGCTATCATGCTTTGATCGGATCAATAGAAATGACTCTTTCTCTGGCAATTTTTTATATGAGATGAGAGAAAAGGTTGATGATATGAGAAGACGAAGTTATGAAAAGAGACGGAGAGACAAAATACAAGCTGAGAATAGAAGACAAGAAAAGAAAGGAAAAAAATTAAAAAGGGAGGGAAAAAGGCAAGATGAGACGAGGTGAGAAAAGAAAAGGTCAAGATGAGAAAAAGGAAAGAAGAGGTGCTGAGACAAGCATGAGAGACAAGATAAGATGAAAAGAAGAGACAAGATGAGAAGACAAGAGACAAGACAAGGCAAGAATTGAAGCAAGGAGAAGAGCTGAGAGGCTAGATGAGAATTGAACATATGAGACAAGAAGTGAAAAAGGAAAGAAAAGATGAGATGAGAAAAGAAAGGGTTGAGATTAGAAGAAGAAGACAAGAGGAGCTGAGACGAGATACAAATTGTATAGACAAGAAGGACACACCAGATGAGATGAGACAAGTATGAGAGACGAGACGAGACAGGAACAAAATTAATAAGGAGAGGCAAGACAAGACCAGAGCCAAGAGAAGGAGAGACAAGATGAAAAAAAGAGACAAGACGAGGCAAGAATTGAAAAAAAGAGAGGCAAGGACAGGACATGAGACAGGGATGAGACACTAGATGAAAATAAAACAGATGATACAAGAATGGAAGGGGACAAGATGAGAAAAAACAGACAAGAGAAGCTGAGACAAGACACTACAGATACTATGAGAAGGACACACCAGATTACATTAGAGAAGAATGAGATGAGAGGAGAAGGAGAGACAAGATGAGACCAAAAGTGAAGGAAAGACATGATGAGAAGAAAAGAGGCAAAATTAGGCAAGAACTGAAGCAAGGAGACGCAAGGAAAAACATATGAGACAGGGATGAGAGACAAAATAAAAACCAGAACAGATGATTCCAGAAAAAAAAGAAGAGAAGAAAAGATGACAAGGTGGAAAATGGAGAGAAGATGGAGAAGGACAGAAAGAAAGAGAACAAACAAGATGAGGAAGACACACTGGATGAGATGAAACAAGCATGAGAGACAATATGAGATGAGAAGAGAATGATCAAAATGAACACAAGATGAGAAAAGGAGAAGGAGATGAGACAAAAATGAAGATGAAGTTGCCCTTGCCCATGTGAGCTTGAGTGATTAAAAGCTTTAATGTTTGGACACTCAGTGGAAGTCAAAGGTCAAGGGGTCAAAAAATGTGTCCATCATAATCGAGTTCCAAATGAATTTCTTTTCCCAAGTGCATCCTTTATCTGTACAGAAGTGCACACATCATCAGAATGGCGCTCTTGGAGGGGTCGGGAAACACCGTATGGATTAAGTGATGTGTACAAGAGGAGCCCCAGTTTAATACAGCACTGAGAGTCTAATCACAGCTTCACAGCGCCGTATCGTTTCCTCCGCCTGGATATTACATCAAGAAATAAAGAAGGATATTTCCAGCACCCTGGAACATATTCATTGTCAATGACAGAAATTCCTCACAAGCTCTAATCATTATTCATAGAAACACCACAGGGAGTCACGCAGACACGCTACAATACCACAACAATTCCTGCGCACGAAAAACACCAGGCTTGGGCAAAGAGAGCAAGGGAAACCTAATGCAAAACAGAAACAAAGGACATACAAAGGTCAGCCGTCTTGAATTTATTTTCAATATACAGCGAGCGCAACGTGTTTTCTATTGAATGACTTGGTTTGGTTTTCCTTTCTTGCCCTCCAGTGTATGAGCCTGGACAGGCCCTGCGTGGAGAGAGGCGACTAGTCACGCAACCTGTTAGTGTTTAGCTGCTCCCCGGCTGCTCTCATTACAGCCTCTCTCTCTGCAACGCAATCACACTCTCGTTGATGTTTTTGGCTGCGTTTCCCGGGATGCTGGCACGCTGCTTGTGCTGGCAGGTCGTTCCAGTAAGATTGCCTGCAGCAGATCCACCCAGCGCCCGCCCGCGAGTGTCCAGCTGCAGGAAATGCGACAGTGAAGGCCAAAAGAAATGAACAAAGCCAGTCGGTGACGCTCTGTGGCTTCAGTTAACCTTGTGAAATAAATGCTCCCCAATGGAAAAAATCTATGCAGCTAAGGTTAGTTTAATGCATCCTGATGCAGGAGAGAATTATGTCACTTAAGTGAGGAGTTGCATTTCACAATCACTTTGATTTAGTTTAACATGAACCCTGCAGCTCTGCCTGAGGCCTGACACTGAGAAGGAAGGTGAAAGAATTAATCAACAGAAGCTCTAAAATAGCGTTGGCCAGTATGATCGTATATACCACACGATGGGAGAAATGTGCCAGATGCTAGAGAATCTGTGCTATACCATGGTAGCATTATTTACACATAAGAGCAAAAGAAGAAACATGGAAAAATGTGACAGTGCAGAGAAGGGACGTGTGCCAAACTTGTTTTTGAACTTGTATTTACAGTAAGTTTAGAACTAGGAATTAAAGGTATTTGTTAAGCACACCACAAAACAGAGTTTGATAATGTATGATTGCCAATCAACATTCCCAGGTTTCTGCATTATATAAAACAAAACTAATTTGTGGTCACAGGTCTGCGTATCTTGTATACACACACACTCACAA